TGATAAATTAAAAAAAATACTTCCCAGTCTCCCTTTCTCAGAAAGCACCTGGAATCTATGTTCCACTAAAATGAAGAAGTAAGCTGAAAAAGAGGAAGACATGGCCCAGGGAAACAGAAATTTCAACATAGGATAGCATCAAAGGAAATTTCTAGGTTGATAGTGAAGGAGAATACTGGAAACATCTGTTTGGCGAACCTGAATTTCTACCAGTCCAGACTGGGACAGGAAGACAGAAGTCTCAAAAATGGTTTGCTCAAAGAAAAAGAGAAAATGTAATTGATGGATTATGTGATGGATGCCCATAATGTGGTTTGTTGGTGCTATCGCCTCAGTTGTGTCCAACTCTCTGCGACCCCATGGACTGTAGCTCTCCAGGCTCCTCTGTCCATGGGATTCTCCAGGCAAGAATACTGGAGTGGTAGCCATTCCCTCCTCCAGGAGATCTTTCTGACCGAGGGATTGAATCTGCCTCCTTTATATCTCCTACACTGGCAGGCAAGTTATTTATGACTAGCACCACCTGGGAAGCCCTGTTGGTGATAAATAAATGATAAATAAATTAGTAGTAATAAATTAGTGATTGCTTAGGTAGTTATAGGGCTTCCCTGGTGGTTCAAATATTAAAGAGTCTGCTCTCAATGCAGGAGATCTGGGTTCAATCCCTGGGTCGGGAAGATCCTCTGGAGAAGGGAATGGCTACTCACTCCCGTATTCTTGCCTGGAGAATTCTATGGACAGAGGAGCCTGGTGGAGTTGGACTACAGTCCATGGGATTGCAAAGAGTTGGACACAACTGAATGACTAACACTTTCGCACATTTCAGGTGATTAACTGATGTGAATTGTATTAATTGTGAAATATGTGTGTAGCTCAGGTGCAGACAGTATTTACAAGGCCATAAAAATCTAAGAAGGAAATATCAGTTTAACTGAAACTTGTGATCTAAGTCTACAGGGAAAAGAAGGGAAGAGAGAATTGTGTATGGTGATGGGTAATGAAGTTAGAATTCTAAAGTCTCATCTTCCAGAGTAGGAGGTCAATACGTAGTGCCTGAAACTCCAATACTTTGGCCACCTGATGCAAACAGCTGACTCATTGGAAAAAACCCTGATGCTGGGAAGGATTGAAGGCAGGAGGAGAAGGGGATGACAGAGGATGAGATGGTTGGAAGGCATCACCGGTTTTCAATGGTGAGGGACAGGGAAGCCTGGCGTGCTGCAAGTCCATGGGGTTGCAAAGAGTTGGACACGACGACTGAACAACAACAACTGTAATTTAGTAAACTGAACAACTGAAGCATTAACATAAATTTAATTTCAAGTGCTTACTTTTGAAGAATGGGATTCAGTATGTGAGAGACAGATCTGGTGATTGTGCTTTATAAGTTTTGTAGTACAGTTTGACCTTTTTTCTGGCTGTGCTGGGTCTTCATTGAAGCACATGGGGGCTTCTCCAGTTGTGGTACGTGGGTTTAGGTGCCCCTTGGCATTGTGGGATCTTAGTTCCCCAACTGGGGATCAAACTTGTGTCCCTGGCATTGGAAGGTGGATTCTTAACCTCTAGACCATCAGGGAAGTCCCCAGTTTGACTTTTGAAATTTTATGTAGGTATTGCATGCATGCATGCTAAGTTGCTTCAGTTATGTCCAACTCTGTGCAACGCTATGGACAGCAGCCCACTAGGCTCCTCTGTCCACGGGATTCTCCAGGCAAGAATACTGGCGTGGGTTGCCATTTCTTTGATTAAAAATTAAAGTGAAGCTTAATGCCTTTTCCCTCCCCAGCAAATGAAACCCAAGAATGTTTGGAGACACTCTTTAATATTGTACAACTTTGTAAAAATATTGTATGTTTTTTCATTGTGCAGAGTCACTGTCACACCGACTTGATGTATTTCTAGTTATTCTTTTCAGAACTTTCCCATGTGTTTTAGAGTTATGTAGAACTTCTTAGTCTGTTATTATGTCTCCTAAGACCTTCTATGTGATGTGGTTCCCAACCTGCATTTCCATCTTCTTTCCTTCAATACTTGGCTTCAGTTTCTTCCTATGTAAAGTGAGGGAAATAGATGAGATTATCTCTTTGGTTCTTTTCTCAGATCATCTGTGAAATCCATACGCAGGGACTGTGTAAAAAGAAAGTCAAGAACCAATTCTCCAATATCAAAAAAGACTTTTATCTAGTCTTCTGGAGGGAAATGCTTTCCTGAAATAGTTTTGTTTTATGGAATAATGAATGAAGATAAATCCATACATTTTAGGATGCAATTTTCTTTTTTTAGCCTGTACTTATTATCATCCTATAATGTAAGTTATGATCTAGTTTATAGGGAGCTGTATGTAATAAGCCATTGTCTTTATAACTGTTATGGTTCGTTCTGCTTTACTTTCCATGTGTGTTTATCTGTATGTGACATCAAGTTCATGGTACTCTCTCATATGTGAATAATGTTTAACCTTGTAAACAAAGTCACTTCAGTAGCTTGGTCTGAGTATTTGGTTCTCTGATGGCTGATTTAGAAATAGCGGAAATAGATGGTGAACAGTTCTATTTATCTTGCTGGAATGGCTGTTAATCAGTTCAGTTCAGTTCAGTCACTCAGTCGTATCCAACTCTTTGCGACCCCATGGACTGCAGCACGCCAATCTTCCCTGTCCATCACCAGCTCCCAGAGCTTACTCAAACACATGTCCTTCAAGTCAGTGATGCCATCCAACCATCTCATCCTCTTGTCCCCTTCTCCTCCCGCCTTCAATCATTCCCAGCATCAGGGTCTTTTCCAGTGAATTAGTTCTTCACATCAGGTGGCCAAAATATTGGAGTTTCAGCTTCAGCATCAGTCCTTCCAATGAATATTCAGGACTGATTTCCTTTAGGATGGACTGGTTGGATCTCCTTGCAGTCCAAGGGACTTTCAAGAGTCTTCTCCAACACCACAGTTCAAAAGCATCAATTCTTCTGTGCTCAGCTTTCTTCATAGTACAACTTTCACATCCGTACATGACTACTGGAAAAACCATAGCCTTGACGAGACGGACCTTTGTTGGCAAAGGAATGTCTCTGCTTTTTAATATGTTGTCTAGTTTGGTCATAACTTTTCTTCCATGGAGTAAGCATCTTTTAATATCATGGCTTCAGTGATTTTGGAGCCCCCAAAAAGAAAATCTGTCACTGTTTCCACTGTTTACCCATCTATTTGCCATGAAGTGAGGGGACCAAATGCCATGATCTTAGTTTTCTGAATGTTGAGTGTTAAGCCAACTTTTTCACTCTCCTCTTTTGCTTTCATCAAGAGGCTCTTTAGTTCTTCTTCACTTTCTGCCATAAATGTGGTGTCATCTGCATATATGAGGTTTTTGATATTTCTCCTGGCAGTCTTGATTCCAGCTTGTGCTTCACCCAGCCCAGTATTTCTCATGATGTACTCTGCATGTAAGTTAAATAAGAAGGGTGACAGTATACAACCTTGAAGAACTCCTTTCCCGATTTGGAACCAGCCTGTTTTTCCATGTCCAATTCTAACTGTTGCTCTTGACCTGCATACAAATTTTTCAGGAGGCAGGTCAGGTGGTCTGGTATTCCCATCTCTTTAAGAATTTTCCACAGTTTGGTGTGATCCACACAGTCAAAGGCTTTGGCATAGTCAATAAAGAAGTAGATATTTTTCTGGAACTCTCTCTTGATTTTTCAATGATCCAGTGGATGTTGGCAATTTGATCGCTGGTTCCTCTGCCTTTTCTAATTCTAGCTTGAACATCTGGAAGTTCATGGTTCACATACTGTTGAAGCCTGACTTGGAGAATTTTGAGCATTACTTTGCTAGCATGTGAGATGAATGAAATTGTGCAGTAGTTTGAACATTCTTTGGCATTGCCTTTCTTTGGGATTGGAATGAAAACGGACCTTTTCCAGTCCTATGGCCACTGCTGCATTTTCCAAATTTGCTGACATGTTGAGGGCAGCACTTCCACAGCATCATCTTTTAGGATTTGAAATAGCTCAACTGGAATTCCATCACCTCCACTAGCTTTGTTCGTAGTGGTGTTTCCTAAAGCCCACATGACCTCACATTCCAGGATATCTGGCTCTAGGTGAGTGATCACACCATCATGATTATCTGGGTAATGCAAATCTTTTTTGTACAGTTCTTCTGTGTATTCTTGTCACCTCTTCTTAATATCTTCTGCTTCTGTTAGGTCCATACCATTTCTGTCCCTTATTGTGCTCATTTTTGCATGAAATGTTTCCTTGGTATCTCTAATTTTCTTGAAGAGATCTCTAGTCTTTTCCATTCTATTGTTTTCTTCTATTTCTTTGCATTGATCACTGAAGAAGGCTTTCTTATTTCTCCTTGCTATTCTTTGGAACTCTGCATTCAAATGGGTATATCTTTCCTTTTCTCCTTTGCCTTTCACTTCTCTTCTTTTCTCAGTTATTTGTAAGGCTTCCTTAGACAAGCATTTAGCCTTTTTCATTTCTTTTTCTTGGGGATGGTCTTGATCACTGCCTCTTGTACAGTATCACAAACTCCGTCCATAGTTCTTCAGGCACTCTGTCTATGAGATCTAATCCCTTGAATCTGTTTGTCACTTCCACTGTATAATTGTAAGGGATTTGATTTAGGTCATACCTGAATGGTCTAGTGTTTTTTCCTGCTTTCTTCAATTTTGAAGTCTGACTTTGGCACTAAGGAGTTCATGATGTGAGCCACAGTCAGCTCCCGGTCTTGTTTCTGCTGACTGTATAGAGCTTGTCCATCTTTGGCTGCAAAGAATATAATCAGTCTGATATCTGTATTGACCATCTGGTGATGTCCATGTGTAGAGTCTTCTCTTTTGTTGTTGGAAGAGGGTGTTTGCTATGACCAGTGCTGCCAACAAATTTGAGTGAACCCCCAAAGGGTGGATTCATGCTAACACAAACGGATAGCTGCCTTTTATAATTTTAATGTAAAAATTCGAACCATGTGAATGATTTAATTTTATTCTCTTCACACAGGGAGCTAACAGAATGAGAGGTCGGCTTGGAAGTGTGGACAGCTTTGAACGATCCAACAGTGTTGCTTCAGAGAAGGTATGTAAGTAGAGCTCTCCTTTTTTCTGCTATTGCAACTTGGCAAAAACAAACATTAATATGGTATTATGCCTGCTTAGTTATTTTGTTATGAGTCCTTTATGACTTCTAAAAAATAACTCATGAGCCTTTATTATTTCAAAGAAGATTCTGTATATTAGCTCGTTTCTGTCGACTGAAAAAAGATGTACAACTTGAGAGTTGTGGGTTAAGTTTTATTTGGGGCAAAATGAGGACTGCAGCCTGGGAGGCAGCATCTCAGATAGCTCTGAGAGACTGCTCCAAAGCAGCAGTGGGGGAAAGTTGATATATAAGGTTTTGGTGAAGGGGGAGTTCAATACCATGAAGCACTCATTTTACAAAAGGGTTTTTGTTAGTCAGGAAGATCTGATGTCACCATAAGGGGATTTAGTGCTTCTCTAGATATGAGGAGATGCAAGGATTGAGATCATAAAATCTGTTCCAAAAAACATCCAACTATCTAAAGACCTGTCCCACCCAATTCCCTGGAGCACAGAGCGCCTCACTCCACCCTGACCTCCCTCAGGAGTTGTTGAAGGTCAACAGCTATAGCAGCCTGGGGTTCAATCTCCATTGAGGCAGATGGCAAATGCCTTTGTTGTTCAGTCCTTGGCAATGCTGGTGGTAAGTGCCAATTTGTAGTTGACATGGCCCCCTGTGGTCATAAATCCGACCATATTTTAAGGGGCATTTCATGACCATTTTGTCCCACATTGCTGGGAAGGCTTGTTCCCAGTTCTGAAGAAGGTTTTTGTTCATAAGACACTCATTGGGCTATTCCTGGACTAGGTCTTAATAGTTACAGATCTCTGGACACCTGTCTTCTAGTTATGGTCCAGGAAAGTATTCCCTCTCATTGCATCTTTTCATACCTAGAGTTACACTGTTACAATCATTGATCATATATTGAGCTATACATTTGATCAACTGCTTCAAGTCTAGTCATCATTTTCATTGGAGGCTCAGCCATACACTTAGCAATACAAGAAATAATAATCTTGTGAAACAAGCAAAATACTAATGGTATAATTAATAACATTAGTGGAATTAAAAGTAAATATTTTAGCCATGAGCCTCCCACACCAAGCCAGTTTTTTTTTTTTTTTTCTAAGATCGTCAAGACTAGGGAATGGGTCTCTTAAAGCAGAAATCTGATTTTTCATGTGAGTCATCAAATGTGTTACATTAAAGGATTGATCAGGTATGAAAATATAGCATTGTTTGAATTGTAGCACAGATATCTCCCTGAGATATCTGAGGATATCAGATATCAGATATCTTCCTGAGATGCTGTAAGGTGTCAATGGCCTTGCAGTTATGTAGCACTGCCTTTCTCATCATAAAGATCTCAGAATTCAATAGGCTAATAGCCTGATTACTGTCATTTAAAGCTTATGAAAGTTGTTAAGGCTTAGATATGGTCAATTACATCTTCTAACTCCATTGAAGACACATGCACACACACACAAAAGCTGCTAAATGGTCATACTAGTAGAATACAGATCTTTGACCCACTGGGATCATACCAATGATAGATTGGTTGGGGTTACCTCTAATTTGTTAACATGTATGACCTAAAATTCATGGGAATCCCAGGTTTCACCTTCGTATCCATCACTGTAGATGTCAAGGCCATAAATTAGTGCCACAAATCCACTGAGTTCTATACCAATCACTCTCTTTAAGGGTAGTAACAGGCATAGTTCATAAAGTACCCAGCCTTGACTCATAATTACCAGATTGATCATTTTTAGTATGATTTAACGTTCCCAACATAGAAGAACCTTTAAACTTAAATGACCATAGCTTGGTGTAAACCATGAATTTAAGGTCATACATCTCAGATGCTGCCTCCTAGGCTACAGTATTCATTTTGCCCCAAATAAAACTTAATTCACAGTTCTCAAGTTGTACATCTTTTTTTAGTCGACGTTTCTATCTATTCAACCGAAGCTTTCTCTTGGTGGGACAGAGCACATTCTTGGCTGTTCTCTCAGGGTTTTGACTGTTTGGAGATAGTATATACTTTGGGGGACAGTATTTGAGCAACTATTGATCCAAAGCCATAGAAAAAGGAACCATATAATTACTGTACTTATATGGCGATCTTTTTCTTTTGTTCTTTTCCTCATGTTACTTCCCCCTCCCCTATGTTTAACCCTTTTAACTGCAACATTAGTCTCTTCTTTATCTCATAGACAGTTCTCACTAGGTTTGGTTTCCTGTTTCCTGTAACATGTAACCTGAGGCAGATGCAACCTATTTGTTTTTAATGGAAAAATACTAAAATATTTTCATGAAACCTTTTGTCGGTAGAATTGAGGACAGTTACGAGTCCATGAGCCCTAACCCATGTTTATCAAGCTACAGATTTCTACAGCGGAGCCTGTTCTGGAGAATATAAACAGCATACTTGTCTAAATTGAAAGATTTATGTTGTCGACCCATGCAGTATGAGAGGCATTCCGGCATAGCTCACTTTTCATTCATTTCCTGTTTTTCATGTCTTTAAAATTTTTTTTACCTCAGGGACCACGTAGTTAGATAGAAACATCCACTGTGAGGGAGGATACTTAACAGGCTTTATTTTATTTTCCTGAGGTATTTGCCATGAGACTTGGACACTTAAGCGTTGTTATATTGTTTGACAGTACAGGAAGCGTGCAACTGAGATGTCACGGAAATCAGTAGATATGTGAATACAGACTCCACCCTCTTTTGGTCAGGATCTCTTTTCATCTTTCTGGTAACAGTGAGAAGAGTACAGTAGCTTTGTAGCATTTTACCATAAGGGGTGAGAGGGAAGAATACCTTTTCTTATCATCCCTTTCACTTTCTGGCCTATCTTTACGGATGCTGTCTTACAGCTGCTTATCAGTAGAAATGGGCTGTGGTGATAGTGATTAGGCTTCAGCATAGATTGAGTTTAAAGAACACACACACACAACAGTTTGTCATGACTCAGGAGGCAGAAGAGACACCCTGTCCCTTCTGAGCTGTGTCTGAACAGGTCTGCCATGATCCATGTAGGAAAGAAAGGCCTGACTTCTTGCTTTTCAGGACTACTCGCCAGGAGACTCTCCGCCAGGGACCCCGCCAGCCTCCCCGCTGTCCTCAGCTTGGCAGACCTTCCCTGAGGAGGATTCCGACTCCCCGCAGTTTCGAAGACGGGCCCACACATTCAGCCACCCACCTTCAAGCACGAAGAGGAAGCTGAATTTGCAGGATGGGAAGGCCCATGGGGTTCGCTCCCCTCTTCTGAGGCAGAGCTCCAGCGAACAGTGCAGGTGAGTCCAAGCCTCTCTCCAGAAACTGGAACCGAATTCTCCTGTCCCTGTGTTCTGACCACTGTGGAGTCAAGAGTTTTTGTGACTTCCTGCTGTAGCCAGTATTTAGTTTTCAGGAAGACCAGAAAAATAAATTATCAAAACCTTCGTCACTAAGGGAAGCAGGCAAGCTTTAAGGCACCCCCAAAGAGCAGGGCTCAAACGTTTTGGATGCAAGTATTTTTTTTTTCCTAGAAAAAAATGGAGGAAAAAAGGTATCATGCCATTGTTTTATCTGAAAAACCTGCTGACAACACATGTTCCTCCGTGTCTCCGTGATGAAGGCATTCATGAAGCAGCAAATTTGAAAATAACATAGCAGAGCTTCCTGTAAGCTTACAATGAAAAACACAAGGGTTAAAAAGAATCACTCATATTACCTTTATACATGGGGTAATTTTGCTGTTATTTAATTTCATAAAAAATTATCACCAAATGTGAAAATTGTTAAAAATTTTATCTAGAATAAAGTGATGTTTATAAAGAAGAATGCATATACCATAATTGACAGGAAGCATCCATTAGAAATTATCTCATGATCTTTAGGAAATACTTTTACAAAATAATTTAGCATTTGATAAGAGGTGATAAAGTTTGCAAAAATTGTAGAATGATTATACTTCTTACTGTGTAGTACAAATCAGAATTTATATCCTAGAACTAATTTTATTTCTCTTCTTTACCTATGAGTTTGGTTTAGGAAATAGTTTGATGGGGATTCCAGTCAGAGGGAAAAAAATAAAATCAGAACTCTAAGTAAAAAAGAAGATTAATTTTTAAATTAGTTGCTATTAAATTTACCAGTATTTCTTTTAAAAATATAATTGAATCCTCATTGTTTTGTTTAATAATTTCATATTATAAACAAGATATTTAAGATATATAAAAATAGTAGAACTAATTATCCTCAGATTTTTCTTTTATGAAAAAGAACTAAGTATTCATGTATATAGCAAACATTTTTTATGATCATTTATATTTACCCAGGGCATTAAATATCTTTTTCCAGGAAAAGTTATTTTCAAGAGTTTAAAATATTAAAGGATAAATGATGTCTATATTTTCTTATGTTTTCCACGTTTTGTAATGTGTATACTCAAAGAATTTCTGTCAATATGAGAAGATGCTATTTATATCATGGTAAAAATTTGCTATGAAAAGAATCTTCTGGAAAAAAAATCTTTGTAGGTGACTTAAGGATTCAGATAAAACCATGGCTACACAATTCCACAGGCTGCAAGAAAGAACATGGACATTGGTATTCATTAAGCCAAAGGTATTATGATGACTCCCAACAACCAAACATGTTGTTCTTAAAATTTTAGAAGCGTTTATATCTTTAAAATAATTGAGTCTTTGAACTACTGATAATCAGTTTTTCCTTCTGGAGCTTGTTTCCTGTAATTATTTGTGCTTTCCTACTTTTTCCCCTTGAAGTATCTTTTGAAAGTCAAAATAAACACTTTTTGTCCTAAAATTTTAGAGCATTTTAGAGACAAACACTTATGCTGAGAAACGCTGCATAGATGAGGAATTCAGTTTGAGAAACAATGAACCAGGTCATCATCATCTAATAGAGAACTGCATGCATATAATTTTTTTCCATATAAATTCAACCTTGATTACATTAATAGCAAGAACCTGTGTATATGCTATTTCATAGTGAATGAAGATTGTTCCAGACTGTAACTTAAGACGAATTTGCTGTATTTTCTGTACTCAGCATCCTTCCACCAGCTCGGCGCATGCACAAGGAGTGTATTTCTTCCTCCAGTCTTCCAAGTCTTCACACTTCCTTCTCTGCCCCTTCCTTCACTGCCCCCTCTTTCCTGAAAAGCTTTTACCAGAATTCAGGTAGACTGTCCCCACAGTATGAGAATGAAATCAGGTGAGATCAGTGTCTGTTTGCAAAGCAACCTTTCTGCAGTGATATACTGACATGTTACTAAAAAGTGGCTAATTAATTTGAGTGACATGAATGCATCTGTGTGTTGTGCCTGTTCTAATCAGTTCCTAATATGTTGGTTTCAGTTCCAGTTAATTTGAAGAAAACCTTTACAAACAGTGTTTCAAAGCTTTTTAATAACATGTTTATCTTACTTTGGGGACTATATTTTTGTACTCTTTGTGTGTTTCTTTGCCTTGGGCCCCAGAGTCTGAGCTTTATTTTGTTTGGGGCAAGACCTATGCAAATACATACTAAGCAAACCTCCCCCATCATGTCTCTCTCTTTTTTTATTTTTAGCTTCTCTGGACATATAAAGCCACTTATTTAAACAGCTGTACTAAAGTAATGGATATTATATATTTTTATTATTAAGTATATAGAATATTTCCTAGGTGTTTCACTGGTTTTTCAATGACATAGACTTGCTTTTCTGAATCTCAGTGTAAGTCACATAATGGCTACAGGAACATATTGATAACAACTCTTTCTGGCAGCATGAGGGATCTCTTGAATTATGTAGATATTCAGTTTTATTTTGTTTTTGTCCCCAGTATTGAAAATGCATAACCTATTAAATCTTGTTCCTTGCTCTTATAACTATACAAAATTAAGTGTGGTGATTTTTTGAGAATTACCATTAGATAATTTTTGAAATTCTGAATTCTTACGATCTTGCAGATCCTCAGTGGGATATTATTCTAGCCTTTGGAAAGCAGTAGATTAAGCTGGAAATTCTCAAGGGGTTGTTGTTGCTTAGAATTTTCTGAGATTCATTTTTATGTGCAGCTTGAGCCATTCTTTTTTATTGCTGTATAGTATTCCATTTACTACATCACAATTTATCCATTCTGTTGCTAATGGATACTTGGATTGTTTCTGTTTTTTGATAATTAATAATTCTTGCAGTCAAGGAGAGGAATATGTGCTGTCAACCAGTCTGCATGCCACTAAAATCTTCTTGGGTGTTCTTCTGGCCTCCTTTCTTTTAGGCATATGGAATTCAAAAAGTTAGTATAATTGGGCAATGTGGATTGACTTGTTAAACTATAATAACTGTTGAATTATCTCTGAATGTCTTTTGTCCGTGTATGTCAAGCTCTTTTCATCCCAAGGCAGACAAGTAATATTGGATTAATAAAATTTTGAATTTGAACTGTCCTTTGAGTTAGTACAAAATTATGCTGAAATATTGAATTTCTATTGAAGGAAGTTGACAAAGAATTGATTTTAAAAGGTTTTTACAGCATCAGCCTTATGTGAGAAGAAGAAAGCCATAAAAATTGCATTATGTATATGAAATATGCAATGAATTTAGAGAACGATAGTTTAGATAATTGAGAACTGATAAAACATTTTACACGTTAACATTAAAAATTTCAGTCTACCTCAGCCCTATAGTTCTACCTATTGATAAGAATACAGCACTTTCAGTGATACCCATTTTCAGTTTCCTGCTATTATGTTAAAGAGAACATCTGGAGAATTCCTGTTTTCTTCCAGAAACAGAACTATGTCTGAAGGTGACAATTAGGGACAGCCACCAAGAAGGTCAAGGATTAGCTGTGAATAGGTTATAGAGTACAAAAACAGTGACTATAAAAGATTATTATAGTTGTTAATTTCTGCTAAAGTGTATGTATTATTCTTGTGCCAAGCTTCCCTTAACCCTCTAGACCTCATTCTAATAGGAGCAAAATATTTAATTTTGCATTGAAAAAAATGTCCCTCTTTGTGGTGATCTTATTTTAAATGCTATATTTAGACATGTGGAGAACTTTTAAGTTCATAGGATCATTAAAAACATCCTATCTTCTGAAATTTGTAGTGTTTTCTTGGTTCTGAGAAATCCTAAAAAATCAGAGAGCACTTTCTGGTATATTTTTGTTTCCTTTTGGTACAGTGTTTTGTAATTTGACAGCTTAGAATCAGTAGGCCAAAAAGACACTTAGAATTTCATTAAAGATTATGCCAGTTGTAAGCATCTGGCTCCATGGATTATCACAGAGTGAACATCCCACATCACTCCACTCAGTCAGCACAGGGAATGCTGCCGGCACCCTGGCAGCTCCTCCCATTTTCCCACCCAATCTCTACCCCTCATCCTGATCTCAGATACCATAGTTTAGTTTTGCCTGGTTTTGAACTTTCTATACATGGAATGATACAGCATAAATTCTTTCATATCTGGCTTTTTTCACTGAATAATGGTTTATGAGATGTATTCTTTTATGTGTACTTCAGTTTATTCATTTGTATTGCTGACTAGTATTTCATTTACTACATCACAATTCATTCCTTTTCCAGTGGACATGTAGGTTATTTCTAGTTTTTTGGTTTTTATAGAGTACTCTCCCTGAATAGGGGTTTCCCAGGTGACTCAGTAGTAAAGAATCCACCTGCAAATGCAGGAGATGCAGGAGACACGGGTTCTATCCCTGGGTCGAAAAGATATCCTGGAGGAGGAAATGGCAACCCACTCCAGTATTTGTGCCTGGAGAATTTCACGGATCCATGGGATCACAGAGTGTTGGACACCACTGCGTGGCTGAGCATGCACGCATGCTCCTTGGATATTATCCATGTCTACATTGATACATACTTGTGCATTGTTAGTAACTACCTACACAGTAGCAAAATTGTTGGACAGAATTCACTCTTAATAGATTTACTTAGTCACTTTGACATAAATTTACTACAGATTGGAGAGAGTGTTTTTTTTTTAATTAGTATTTTAAAATAGGTTCAGATTTATAGGAAAATTGCAAAACTGTTATGGAGAACTGCTAACCCTTTATCCAGATTCATCCATTTTTAACATTTGCCACATTTGCTTTATCATTCTGTTTCCATGTATCCATGCATACATATATGCATATATATATATTGTTATTCTAAGCCATTTATGAATAGATTGCAGATAACATGTCCCTTTACTCTGAATCCTTCAGTGTGTGTTTGCTAAGAATGAAGATATTCAAGAGTGTGGCTTTAAGCCAGGAATTTCTGAACTCCTACATCTCTCATTATCACTGGTTTCAGAGAAAACTTCATATGCACACAATTACCATGATATCTGCAACTATTCAGAATAGAAAGGAAGAGGTCTATAAAACTATGTAATATAATTTTCTTTTCACTTGGGTAGCTCATATCTTATTAGAGGCATAGTGTGGATCTATAAATATTCACAGTTAAGTATTTAGAGTAGGTTAGCACATAGGTTAGCAAATACTATTTAAAGAGCATGATCATTTGAAATTTGAAATTCAGAGTAGGCATCCTTCTCCAGGACCACTATTTTGAATTATTAAAAACATGTAGATTATTGTTGTTAAGCAAGCTGAGAAAAAGAAGCCAAGATATTTTTAATATCCTGGTTTACTTAGTAGTAGGTTAATTTGTACAGCAGTGAAATGCTAAAGGAAAGGGAGTACATATATGTTTTGTTTTACCTTCAAGTTAATTCTTAAAAATTTAACGTTATTTCATTGTGGAGTAGCTGAAATATAATTATGCATAATCGGATGGTATATTTACATAACATCCATTTAGCAAATATAATGTATCCTTTTATAAACAAGCATCTGTTTCCTCCTTATTGTTGCTTCTCAGCTTTTGAGCCTATATTTAAAAAATATTTATATTGAAATTCACTGGTCAAATGATAGTCATTACATCTACTTCTAAAACTTTTCAGTGACAAAATAGGTTTTTGCTGACAAGTACTTTGTGGTATAGTTTGGTTCTATAGTTTTCTCATATTATCTGATAAAAATAGTGTAATTACTCATGGTACAATATTGAAATTATTTATACTTTATTGATGTCTTATGGGAATGCCTTTTTATTCTAAATGCTGGTTTTGGGCATCACTCTTTTTCTGTGCTAATGCTGTTCCTTGTTTTCCTGTGGTACTAGACAAGACACTGCTTCAGAATCAAGGTGATTAGAGGTCTAAATATTTTCATTTACAAATTTATTAATTCTTCCAGCTGATTATTACCATTCATTTAAAAATCAGTTTTGGCTGTCTTCATGCATGCTATCTTTCTGGTGATGTTAGGGGGATATAGTAGGGGAAAAATGACTCCTGGTGTAATCAAAGATTATGAATGATCATACAAAAGATTGATTGTAAACAAGTCCTGTTTCTACTCTGTTCCACATTGACATTTCCTTAGGACTGTGCTGTGGCCTTCAGCAGAGATTAATTCAAATTTGGAACTAATGGAAGTAAATTAATTTGGAGGTACATATGTACATTTAAGGAGTTTATTTCAAATCCCAAGTAGATGCAAAAATAAGAATCCTAAAGGAAACTTACTCATAAAATCAAATCTGGTTTTCACTGAAAAATATTCTTAGTCTATTTCTGTTCATCTTAATTGCTGGCACATGGGTTACTTTGAGACACTGCTGTGGCCTTCCAGACCTCCCACTGGGCTGGACGCAGGAAAACACCTACTTCCTTCTTATGGAAGTCTGACCACATCTGTGATGACATTTCTTCCTCCTGACACACATGCTTTTTGTGGTAAATGTCCAGAATCACTGCTGAATGGCTTAACTGAAAATGATTATTCTTTCCTAGTTTATATGCTTTGCTCATATCACAAGCCCAGTGGAAAACAGACATTCCTATCTTCCTGTTGGGGTCACTGACATTTAGATTTCTTTCTAATGGGAGTTAAAATCCAGTATGAAAGATTGGGCTAGCATGAGATGTTCAAAGAGGAAAAATTATTTGGGGCCACATTGATAAGATAAAAAGTGACTGAGACTTTCAATTGACCTACATTTTTTAACGGTTGCATGTAAGACCATTTCAGTAATATTTCTTATCTACTTCCAAAAGCCCAACAGAAATGTTAAGATTTTCTGTGTTCTTCTAGAAGGTTCTACTATAGGCATGGAGCTAGGTCTGTGTTTTACCTTAGTGG